ACCTCCATTTATAATACATAAAGGGGGATATGATCTCCATGTATAATACATAAGGGGGGATATGATCTCCATGTATAATACATAAGGGGGGATATGATCTCCATGTATAATACATAAGGGGGGATATGATCTCCATGTATAATACATAAGGGGGATATGATCTCCATGTATAATACATAAGGGGGGATATGATTACCATGTATAATACATAAGGGGGGGATATGATCTCCATGTATAATACATAAGGGGGGATATGATCTCCATGTATAATACATAAGGGGGGATATGATCTCCATGTATAATACATAAGGGGGGATATGATCTACCATGTATAATACATAAGGGGGGATATGATCTCCATGTATAATACATAAGGGGGATATGATCTCCATGTATAATACATAAGGGGGATATGATCTCCATGTATAATACATAAGGGGGGGATATGATCTCCATGTATAATACATAAGGGGGGATATGATCTCCATGTATAATACATAAGGGGGGATATGATCTCCATGTATAATACATAAGGGGGGATATGATCTCCATGTATAATACATAAGGGGGGGGATATGATCTCCATGTATAATACATAAGGGGGTGTATGATGATCTCCATGTAAATAATACATAAGGGGGGATATGATCTCCATGTATAATACATAAGGGGGGATATGATCTCCATGTATAATACATCAGGGGGGATATGATCTCCATGTATAATACATAAGGGGGGATATGATCTCCATGTATAATACATAAGGGGGGATATGATCTCCATGTATAATACATAAGGGGGGATATGATCTCCATGTATAATATTATTATGATTCCATGTATATCTCCATGTATACATCAGTGGTTCATATAGTAAACTCGGTGTAGAGTTATTCACCCTGAGGTCATCACAGGGGACAGGGGGGCACTCTTTACTTCTGGAGGAAAAGAAATGTAATCTCCAAACACGGAAAGGTTTCTTCACAGTGAGAGCTGTGAAAATGTGGAATAGACTCCCTCAAGAGTTGGTTCTGGCCAGCTCAGTGGATTGCTGTAGGAAAGTCCTGGATTCTTTCTTGGATACACAGAATATAACTAGATAAAACATTTATAGGTAAAGTTGATCCAGGGAATATCCGATTGCCTCTCGGGGGATCAGGAAGGAATCTTGTTCCCTGCAGGAGCAAATTAGATCATACTTTGCTGGGTTTTTTTTGCCTTCCTCTGGATCAACTGTGGGTATAGGATTATAACTTTATTTTTTTCTATGGTTGAACTGGATGGACTTTTGTTTTTTTTTTCAGCCAAACTAACTATGTAACAAAAATTCTTTTTTTTTATGAAATATATCTTGGAAAGTAATATTTTGCCAGCTGCCCTCTGTAAAAGGGTTTACTCTGGATTGTATTATCTGTAAAAACAAAATTTGGCAGCTTAAGCGAACCACACATAGTGCACACTCTTAACTCGTTCTCGACGACTGTACGCATATTTGCGGAAGTGGATCTTTATCTGTGAGGCTGGGAATAAACGTATCTCTCTTTGTGCTGGGGGTGCACTGCACAGCACACTTCCAGCACAGAGACCACAGAGACCGGGCTTTCACCAAGAGCTGTGGGTCTCGTACTATCGATTGGGACTCCCGGTTTCCGGGTCACCTGATCACTGCAATAGTCTCTGATTGGCTATCGCAGTGATCAGTCACTGAGCCCACTCCTGTGTTTACTTCCTCTTCTGCATGAAGAGGAAGGATACACTTTATCTTTCTCTTCTTACAGGAGAAACAAAAGTGTGCAAAAAAAATTAATAAAATACAAAATTAAAATTAAAGAAATAAAATACAAAATAACTAGATCAAGGTTTTCCAGGGTTAGTGTTAGGTCTGGGTCAAAGGTCACAACAGCATATTATGGATAGAATTTAAAAAAACCCACATTTTTAAATTAGTATCAATGTCATTAGTGTCAGGGTGTTTTAGGTAGGAAAAAAAAATGCAAAATGCATGCTATTGTTTCTGGGCCCTGCTATTGGTACAAAAAACAACCAACATACACATATGTTGTATTGCTGCAAACACCAGGGGCAAAAGAATTTATTTTGAGATGTTTTTTAGTGGTAAATTCTAGTAAATCAGAAAATATACAGCTAAATTCAGAAATATTTTTTTTTTACTATAATGGGCCAGTTTTCCTCTGATAATAAAAAACAAAATCAGGAGATAACTGTTACCATTTACCCCCAAAAGAAAGTCCAATTTGTCCTGGAAAAAAAAAAAAAGATATAATCCACCTGGATACACAAAGTTGTTGCAACAATATGTACAGTTTTACTAACACATGTCAAAGTTGCAAAATTGTGCTTAGGCATTAACATTGGTTTTACCCTCAGTCACTAAAGGGTTAAGGAAGGTAGCCTATGACTGCATGGGTGTGTGCATGTGTAACCTCAGAATAGTGTTGTGCCATCCCATATGGAAGAAAAAATATGTTTGAAATATATTTTAACCACTTGAGCTCCTGAGGATTTACCCCCCTTAATGACCCGCCTCTTTTTGCTACTCGGCACTGCACTAATTCAACTGATAATTGCGCGGTCATGCAATGCTGCACCCAAACAAAATTTACGTCCTTTTTTTCACACTAATAGAGCTTTCTTTCGGTGGTATTTGATCACTTGTGCGCTTTTTTTTTTTTCACGCTATAAACAAAAAAAGGCCAAAAATTTTGAAGAAAAACAAATTTTTTACTTTCAGCTATAAAAAAATATATAGTAAACTCAAAGTTGGTTATAAATTTAGGCCAAAATGTATTCTGCTCCATGTTTTTGGTAAAAAAAATCCCAATAAGTGTATATTGATTGCTTTGTGTGGAAGTTATAGCGTCTACAAACTATGGTATAAATACTGCAATTTACGCCGTTTTTCTGCTATACAGCGTTGCGCTAGTTTAACGGACAATTGCGCGGTCATGCAATACGGTACATAAATGAAATTTACATCCTTTTTTTCCCCACAAATTGAGCTTTCTCTCGGTGGTATTTGATCGCCTGTGCGGTTTTTTATTTTTTGCGCTATAAAAAAAAAGGCTGACAATTTTGAGGAAAAAAAAACAATATTTTGGACTTTTTGCTATAAAACATGTCCAGTAAAAAAAAATGCAAAAATCAAATTTAGTCATAAACTTCTGCCAAAATGCATTCTGTGACATGTCTTTGCTAAAAAAAATCCCAATACGTGTAAATTAATTGGTTTACGTGAAAGTTATAGTGTTTACAAATGGCGGGAAAGATACTGGAATTTTTAATTTTTATTTATACTAATAATGGCGCCGATCAGCGACTTTTGGCGGCAATCAGCGACATATGGCAGCGACTTATGGCAGGACTGCGGGACTGCGGCGGACATTTTGACACTGGGGGGGGAACTGACTTGGGGTCACTGACATCCCCAGTGACACCAATACAGTGATCAGTGAAAAAAACCCACTGAAACTGTACTAATGTCACTGGGGAGGAAGGGGTTAACATTTTTAGAATTTGCAGTGTAAGGGGAGTGTTTTACTAGGGGGCGGGGGTGTGTACTGGGGGGGGGGGGGGAGGGAGGGGGGGAGCTGATTGAGGGAGAGAAACTCTGCAGCTTCTCACAAGCTGTCAGAGAACTGACACAGAACAGGGCTGTGTGTAAACAATGCAGCCCTGCTCCGTGTCAGCGATCACTGGCAATCGCGGGAAAACGGCCGGTAAAAACCGGCCGTGACCCGTCGGCTGACACCCGCTGTTGACACCCGCAGGACAGGTAGGGCGCGCGCGCCCCCTACCTGTTTTGAAGGCAGCCGTTTTAAAATGTGCTTTTGCCTACGAGTGCCGCCCTGCCACCGTTTATATGCGGTGGCTGGCCGGCAAATGGTTAAAAATATTCTTTCCAAATATATTGCCATATATTTGAAATACTACAATTTTGGCCATATTGAATATATTTCCAAATATATTTTTATATATATATATATATATATACACTATATGTTGAAATGCGTTTTTATTACAAAATATTTTTAAAAATACATTTTCAAATATACCGTATATCTTTAAAAATACAAATCTACATTTTTGGAATTCATTTACAAATATATGTAAAAATGTATGTTAAAATGACTTTTTTTTTATATGTTAAAAAAATCTGAAGAATATTTTTAAAAATATATATTTTTTTTATATATATTCTTCAGATTTTTTCTAACATATAAATACGTCATTTTAACATATATTTGTAAGTGCATTCCACAAATGTAGATTTGTAGTTTTAAAGACATACAGTATATTTGAAATGTATTTTTTATAATATCTTTCATATATTTTGTAATTAAAATACATTTCAACATGGTGTGTGTGTGTGTATATATATTTACTGAAATATATTTTAAAATATATTGAATATGGCCAAAATTGTAGCATTTCAAATATATGGCAATATATTTAGGTAGAATATTTTTAAAGAATATTTCAAATATATTTTTCTTCCATATGGGATGCAGTTTGAAAATGTCATTGAGAATGTAAACCAAATCTATGAATTAGGGGCCCCCAGAACTTGAAGTGCCTGGGCCCTCCAAGGTCTAAATCTTGCCCTGCCTGAAGCTGACTCCTCATGATATGTTATTGAGCTAGCATTGTTATCCACATTCTTAATGCTTTCTTGGAAGATTGCACCTCACCAACCTTTGGATGAACTAGTAAAGATCGGTAGAAATCTATGATATAACTCCACACCTGCGGATCCACCTACCAAGCACCCCATTTAAACGCCTATCTGCAAACATTAAGATCTCATTGTTTTAGTAATGATTGTCAAAGTAAAGAACTGGCAAAGAAAATCAAAGTCAAATATGTACACGGGGCGTTAGTTCTATATTTTACAATTATGCTGGTAGTAAGACCCTTCCTCATTTCTTTCATCTGTTGTTTTGGCATAGATAAAAAGAAGTGCTGTATGCATCATCACCAACAATGAATCCTTCCATTGGAAGATCCAGGAATCCGATCCTTCCACCAATCCCCAGTGCCAGGGATAGGAAGTTTCTGCTCAGCCTTGAGGACTTCATAAAGACAGAGACTGAGAAACTGTCAGCTGCTGGTCAGTTGGATGATGAACAGCAGTATATTATCTATGGACAAGTCTTTGAGAAGGTAATTGGGTATTTGCTTAGTTTGGGTTATTTCAATTCACCTTGAAAGTTAGAGGTACTACCAGGGGCGGACTTACCATTTGGAAACTCGGGCACTGCCCGAGGGCCCGGGGTCAGTAGGGGGCCCTATGAGATGCCCCTGGTACCTTTTTTATAGGCTTTTTTTGAGTTTGGGCAAGGACACAGGGGTCCCATGATCCCCTATTGCCCAGGGGCCCCATGAGTTGTCAGTCCGCCCCTGGGTACTACAGAGAATGAACCTTGAAGGGGTGAGGGTTCATACTCTTGCATGCACATATCCCTTTTTTACCTCTCAAAAGCATTTTCAGCAACTCATTTAATCACTTGCAGCTTATTTATCTTTTATCCCTTGTCTGTGTTCCAGTATAAGCTGGTGCCATGACCGCTGCCCTGTCTTTCCTGTTTCAGGGTGACTCCATTCTACTGTAGCATCCTATAGAATCATCTTTGCATGCAGGGACTAGCATTCTTTCTCTCTACACTGTGTGCATCAATAGAAACACACAGCCCCATAGCCTAGGATGGCAAAGAACTTCCTTGCTCCTCTACCCCCCTTCCCTTTTCCAATGTAAAAGACTGGCTCCAGACTGCGCTGTTCATTGTTAGCTCTTTCCTGTGAAGAACAGAAGTTAAAATGGTTGTAAAGGCTGAAGGTTTTTTACCTTCATGCATTCTATGCATAAAGGTACAAAACCTGCGTACAGCAGTGCCCCCAGCCCCCTCAATACTTACCTGAGCCCCATTGAGATCCAGCGATGTGAAGGACAGCCTTGGCTGTCAAGGATCTCTGCCTCCTCATTGGCTGAGACAGCAAGTGCGAGCCATTGGCTCCCACTGCTGTCAATCACAGCCAGTCAGCTAATGAGGAGAGAGAGGGGGCCGTGGCTCTATGTGTGAATTGACACACGGAGAAGCGGGTGCCCCCATAGCAAGCTGCTTGCTGTGGGGGCACCCAATAGAAAAGAGGAGCCAGGAGAGGCTGCAGGGGATCCAAGAAGAGGAAGTTCGGGGCTGCTCTATGGAAACCACTGCACAGAGCAGGTAAGTATAGACATGTTTGTTATTTTACCCCAAAAAAAAATTAATCTTTAAAATTGCTTTAAGGAAAGTAGCACAGAGAGAGCCTGCAGCACTGGAAGTTATAAATTACAAGTGCGGGGGTAAGAATTTTAACAAATAGTTTAAATGGTTTACTTAGGAATGTTTATTTTACTGCGCTCATTGTGTTACGCTAAAGAAAGGCTGAGGGTTTAATAATGCTTTAAAGTGAGCATGTGCAGATAGAAACACGGGAGCTGCCATTGCCAGCATGATAATAAAAGTACAGGCTTGGGGCCAGTCACACTGATCTCTACCGTTCTACTAAGCTGGTGAGGACTCGTCCCCGAAACACGTCAGTAAACCAATCATACTGAAAGTTGGACACCCCGCCACTGTTATGGCCATCTCTACTGTTCTACTAAGCTGGTGAGGACTCATCCCCGAAACGCGTCTGAAAGCCGACCATACTGACAGTCGGACACCCCGCCACTGTTATGGCCATCTCTACCATTCTACTAAGCTGGTGAGGACATGTCCCTGAAACACGTCAGTAAACCAATCATACTGACAGTTGGACACCCCGCCACTGTTATGGCCATCTCTACCGTTCTAAGCTGGTGAGGACTCGTTCCCAAAACGCGTCAGTAAGCCAATCATACTGAAAGTTGGACACCTCGCCACTGTTATGGCCATCTCTACAGTTCTACTAAGCTGGTGAGGACACGTCCCGAAACGCATCTGAAAGCCGACCATACTGACAGTCGGACACCCCGCCACTGTTATGGCCATCTCTACTGTTTCTACTAAGCTGGTGAGGACACATCCCCAAAACGCATCAGTAAGCCAATCATACTGAAAGTTGGACACCCCGCCACTGTTATGGCCATCTCTACTGTTCTACTAAGCTGGTGAGGACTCCTTCCCGAAACGCGTCTGAGAGCCGACCATACTGACAGTCGGACACCCCGCCACTGTTATGGCCATCTCTACCATTCTACTAAGCTGGTGAGGACACGTCCCGGAAACGCGTCAGTGGGCCAATCATACTGACAGTTGGACACCCCGCCACTGTTATGGCCATCTCTACTGTTTTACTAAGCTGGTGAGGACTCGTCCCTGAAACGCATCTAAAAGCCGACCATACTGACAGTCGGACACCCCGCCACTGTTATGGCCATCTCTACCGTTCTACTAAGCTGGTGAGGACTCGTCCCCGAAACGTGTCTGAAAGCTGGTGACAGGACACCACGTATGGCCCTCGAAAGCTGGTGTCTGAAAGCCGTGGGCCAATACTGACAGTCGGACACCCCGCCACTGTTATGGCCATCTCTACCGTTCTACTAAGCTTTCCATTTATGCCATGTTTGTGAATATGTTTTCATCCTGTTTACCTTTAATAAACCTTGGATTAATGCACTTGGGGTTTGCTCCTCCTCTTTGCTCTTTTTTCAGCTGTTGATTTCTCTATCTGAGGAGGGCAGCATCTCCGAAGGGCTATCCATAGGTGATTTTGCTCCTGGTTCCCCTGGCATTCCTTTGGCATTTGATCCCTGGAGCGCTGGAGAGTTTATTCTGTTATTGAGCGTTTTTCAGCTTGAAGCTCGAAGCTCCAAAAAAAAAGCTCAAACTTAAAAACAATTGTTCTCTATGGTGCCTGTTCACACTTGATCGGCGAACAGGCACTATAGAGAACAATTGATTTTTAAAGTTTGAGCTTTTTTGGAGCTTCGAGCTTCAAACTGCAAAACGCTCAACTGTGAACGCAGCTTGAGGCTTGTCACACAGCTATACGGTTTTGCTTAAATTGTACTGTATTTTTCATCTTGCTGCCATGCTGCTGTTTCTTAATTGCCCACAAGATGGCATCACCACCTAGAAATTCTTCACACATTTAAAGCATAGTAAATCGCATAAAAAAAAAAAAAATCCCTTCAAGGTGAAGACATAATGGGGTTTATTTACTAAAGCTGGAGAGTCCAAAATCAGACTCACTTCTGCATAGAAACCAATCAGCTTCCAGGTTTCATTGCCAAAGCTTCATTGAACAAGCTGAGGTTAGAAGCTGATTGGTTTCTATGCAGAAGGGAGTCTGATTTTGGACTCTCCAGCTTTAGTAAATAAACCCCAATGTGTTAGTATACATGGCATAGAAGCACATTATGCACAACTTACCTTAACCACTTCAAGTCCGGACACTTTTACCCCCTCCCTGTCCAGGCCAATTTTCAGCTTTCGGCGCTATCACATTTTGAATGACAATTGCGTGGTCGTGCAACACTGTACCTATATGAATTTTTTAGCATTTTTTTGAGACAGATAAAACTTTATTTACCACTGGGATTTTTTTTTTTTTTTTTTGCTATATAAATGAAAATGTCCAAAAAAAGTGTTTTTCTTATAAAATTTTGCAAATAAATAATCTTGGCCAAATGTATTCAGTTATCTTTTTAGTAAGAAAAATAACCCAAATTAGTTTATAACCAAAAATTATAATTTTTAAAACATTTTTTTAGATTTTTATATTATTATTGTCAGGAATGTACTCGCCAATGGTGGTGGGACTCACCTGCCTTGTGGGCTGCAGTACCAGGGCTGGCCAGCAGTTGCTCTCAGCAGCCAGAAGCTCACTCCTGCAATCAAGCCATTACCTGAGGCTGATTGCAGGAGGTGTATTTAAGGAATGGCCAGTCAGCGCCTTGGTGTATTGTTCCCATGAGCCCCTGTACCTGCATCCTGTCTGCTTCCTGCCTGATCTTTACTCTGCTTGATCCTGACTCTGCTTGAACTCTGCCTGCACCGACCTCGGCTACTCCTGACCAATCTTCTGCCTACTCCTTGTACCTTGTCTGCCCGTTAGCTACCGACCCGGCCCGCCTGACTACGTTGTTCTCCATATTTATATATATATATATATATATCAGTTAAGGTTTGGGTTTGTTGCACCTTGTTGTACGTATTTGTGTTAGTTTTGGTTTGTTGCACAGCGTTTATGTTTGTGTTGCCATAATAAATTATATTGTTTTACACGCTATACCTGAAGTCTGTGTTTCCCTGTGTCGGTCCACACACCTCTGGTCATACCTGGAGCCCTGACAATTATTTATGTTTTTTGGGGGTTTTTTTTAACATACTGTCACCCTAGCAGTACAGTTTTTTTTTGTTTTTTTTGTTTTTTTTTTGTTTTTTTTACACTGATTGCTTTTACACCCATAAAGGCTGTAAAAGCAATCATTTCTCCTTTTCTCTGGCTGCATTCTTGCAGCCATTGAGAAATACTGTGTGAACTGTGATTGGTCACAGCTTGTCACATGGTACAAGGCTGTTGTGAATAGCCTTGTATCATGTGATCATTTACAGATTTCACACGTAGTAAGCAATGATATCAGAAGTGACATCTTGCTTACACCTATTCATGTGATCACTGATTGGCCAATCAGTGATCACATGATCGGGACCTCACACAGAGGTCCCGTACAGCGATCGGTGTTCCGCTGTGTCCGGTGCCACGTGCTCCTAGGAAGCGCACACAATCCAAAATGGCTGGCGCAGTTTATGAACAGCAACCCGCCCCTGCACTGCCACCATGCGATTGTTTATATTCAGTGGCCGGACCGGAAGTGGTTAAAAAGAAGCCCTCCAGTGGTGCGCTGTCACCGCTGTAGAGGCTTCCATCTTCACGCGGTCTTCCTTCCGGGTTCGCAAGCTCCGGCCATCTGGCTGGCTGAGCCGCAATGATGTCACTCCCACGCATGTGCACAGGAGTCTCGGGACAAGGCACAGTGCTCTGAAGGAACGGCACGGGTATGCCGTTCCTTCAGAGCGCATGCGCTGGTTGTAAACCCCCCCCCGAATATATCCTAAATGGTGCACATTTAGGAGGTATTACTTTTACCTACAGGTAAGCTTTATTATATGATGAAGATTGGTATAGCCAACACTTGGCTTCCCGAATAATAAACTTTATTGAACGAGTAAAATGTGCATATAAAATGTCTTACGCGTTTCGGCAATAAGCCTTAATCATAGCTATCCTTTATTATGAGCTTACCTGTAGGTAAAAATGAACAAAGTGACTTTACTATCACTTTAATACAAGGCCAGCCTGCTTATAGAAAGGAAGGGAAACCCTGTGTTAGAGATATGTGTGAAGAGTATTATCCTGTGTCTCTATATGATTTACCGTATTTTTCACTCCATAAGATGCACATTTTTCCCCCCCAAAAAAATGGGGGGAAATGTGTGTGCGTCTTATGTTGCGAATGTGGAGCGTCTGGCCTGGTATTTCCACCATATTAGAATATCGGGCCGGCCGCTCATCTCTTCTCTGCAGACCTCCAGCGGTCCTACCTGTTCCTCGGTCCAGCGGTGTCCTCAGTCTTCTCTCCCTGGCACCGGCATGGCCCCCCAGCAGGTTGCAGCTTCATAGCCGGATGCTCACTGCACATGTGCAAGAAGCGCCGCGCTTTGTGAATGGTCCTGTAATCTTCTGGGACCTGTCACGTGTCCCAGAAGATTACGGGGAAGGAGGGGGAAGGACAACTCCGCGGAAGTGGGAGCGGGTACCGGTCAAATTCGGGTACCCGCTCCCCCTTCTCCGCTTCCCAAAGGTCCGCAGTCTCTGGTCATCCCCTGTACTATGTCCGCAGTCTCTGGTCATCCCCTGTACTATGTTTGCAGTCTCTGGTCATCTCTTGTACTGTGTCTGCAGTCTCTGGTCATCTCCTGTACTATGTCTGCAGTCTCTGGTCATCTCCTGTACTATGTCCGCAGACTCTGGTCATCTCCTGTACTATGTCCGCAGTCTCTGGTCATCTCCTGTACTATGTCCGCAGTCTCTGGTCATCTCCTGTACTGTGTCCGCAGTCTCAGTTCATTTGTACTGTGTCCGCAGTCTCTGGTCATCATCTCCTGTACTATGTCTGCAGTCTCTGGTCATCTTCTGTACTATGTCTGCAGTCTCTGGTCATCTCCTGTACTGTGTCCGCAGTCTCTGGTCATCCCCTGTACTATGTCCGCAGACTCTGGTCATCTCCTGTACTATGTCTCTGTTCTATCAGGAGATAGATTGGGGACTGTAAAAGAAGGGGAGAATCAGAGAAGACAGGATCAAACAGTCTTTTAACACAATGCAGAGGATTAACCCCTTAGGTCCCACAGTGAGTATAACAAGCACGCTTTACTGCATATACAGACTGATTTTACTGTTGTGGGTTTAGTAACACTTTAAGAATATTTGTAAGGTTGTCATGTTCTAGCCTGTAGATTAGCAGCTTTTTAATTTTTTTTTTCCCCAAATACTTTTTGCTCTGGTGAGTTTATTCAATCTATTCGGTGGTGGATTTGTGTACGCTGGTTTTGTGTTTTTCACATGAAGATTTGTTGATTTGAAGATCTCATTTATTGATACAGATACAATTTTTGGTGTTGGACAATTGCACATTTAATTGGACACTATTAATAATTTATTTATATAAAGATATATGTATTTACACATTAAGCAATATTTTATAAATTGTGTGGGATTATTAGTGCAAACGTGTTATTTCATTTATATCTAAAGACCAGCCATGTCTACCCGGTACCCTCAGGGTGGCCTTGAGGCTACTCAAAAGAGATTGATATAACGAGGAGATAAGGCAGCTTTTTCACATTTTGAAGTGAAGGTTAACCCTTTGGCGCTGGCTCCTCCTGGCCCTCTAAGGGGTTTTAGATGTAGATTGGCTGTCACATGATTGGAAAGCACCCGATAGCAAGTAGAGATTGGGAGCGGTCTCTTAGCCACCAATAACTGTGCCGGGAGCGCGCACGCTGTGTGCTCTTGGCACAGTTCTCTTTTTTTGGGGTATGCACATGTTGACGTTAAGGCCCATTCACCAAGAGACCACATATATGCGTGTGGCTGGTGGGAAGGAGTTAATTATTAAAATGTCAATTATTCATTTGTTTAAAAAATAAACATCCTCCTTTTTGCCTAGGGTTCTTCTCTTATGCTACTTATTTTTCTTTCAGTTAATTGAGCATTGTGCGGAATATCAAGACATTCTTACTGCAATCAAGCAGGAATATGAGGAGTTTATTGATGTGCTCAGACAGGGAGAAATAGATGCCACCCATCTGCAGGCCAAGCTGAAAAGCCTGACATCTGAGCCCACCACCCTCATGTATTATAGGAAGAGGGCCACAGAGCTGGAAGAGAGGTTAGGTCATGAGAATTCTATGAATGAAATACTTACCTCTTCCCTATGGCTGTATGACACCGCTTCTAGCTACTAGTTCCGGAAAATAGGGTGTTTGATTTTTTTTTTTTTTTTTTAATGATCATTATTTAGCTTTACACATTCAAAAGAAAAAAAACTTTGAAAATATGACCATACATCCTACCATGTGTACAATTTTAGTTTTAGATCTCATTTCATTCACCGAAGCTGTAGTCAGGGAGACACTGTTAGAAACCACGGGGCCCCATACAGCCAACCTGACATCCCTCACCCACCCAAAAAAAAACACAATTTACTATGCTTCAGGTATGAATGAATACAGTGAGGGATTGGTACTGGTCACTCATTGTGTTCTTTCAGGAAAGGGCTTGTAAATGTGACATATTTACTGGACCCTTCCCCCACTCTACATACTGAGGAATCCTAAAGTGTGCTTGCAGCTGCTGGGGGGAAGAAGAGGGGGGAAACTGGCACCGTTATGGGTGCAAATTGAACCAGTATCATTCTGTATTCAATAAAATTTGGTTTACTGAGGTAATGCACAAGGTTGTTACGCTTTCTGTTTTGTTTCGCTTTGCAGTACCATTATGGGGGCACACAGGGGGGCCTGGGCATCAGGGGAAAACGTACGGTGCACCAGGAGGGTGATAGCTGCGGTGGGGGAGGGGCAATTACTGGCACCGATTCCCTGCATAGCTCCCTCTGCAGCAGCTGAGAGCCAGTGGGAGGGATAGCAGATGAAACCAGCTTTTTAGCTGTTGCAGAGAGAGCCATACAGGGGATTGGTTCCAGTAATTGCCCCCCGCCGTGCCAATCACCATCAGTGCCCACATCTGATTTACCCAGCTGCCTGCCCCCCTCTGCTGTCCTGGGCCCTGTACAGAAGGACTGGTGGTGCCTCCTTATCCATGGCCCTGGCTTTAGTACGAGTTCTGTGAATGGAGGGGGGGGGGGGGGGGGGGGGCAGAAAGGCAGGCATAGTTGGCCACTCTTAATGAGTGCCTGTATCAGCTCTATTAACTCCCGCCACACCAGAAGATTACTGTGGCGAGGGTGCGGGGAGAATCTGTGGAGGAGGTTTTCCATTACAGGAGCGGGCAACAGCACAAGGGACACATGGTATTCATTGTAAGTAATGACCCTTGTGCTGATATTTTTTCTTGTGTAGACTTTAATGCAAAATAAAAGTAATTGATGTGTTTTTGTGTGCAGACATAGTTTTATAAGGTAAGCAGCCATAATGGATGTCATTACATCACTGCAACCTCATACAATGAATGATGGCTGCAATAAATTCACAATGATAAACAGCGCAGTGTATACATACATTTTGTTCTTCTCAAACCCCTTAACGCCCCAGTAACCCGTATGTGCAGCGCAATAAATCTGGGCTGTAACGGCCACAAAGCGCACATATGTGTTGCTGGGCGGGCAATGTTTATGTGCCGTGAGCATGGCCGATTTTTGCACCATTAATGGGTTAATTGGTCGGCCGTTTTTCAGGGTTTTAGCACATTTTTTTTATCGGTAAAGTTGGAAAAAAAACGGCCGATTTTCCCGATCGGCCAATTTTCCCGGCAATGATGGGCAAATCGGCCGATCGTGAAGAAGGAGAAGGAGAAGAAGAAGAAGGAGAAGAAGAAGATATGAAAAGTCTTGCGGTTGCAACAATGTATCTATTTGTATCCGAATAAAACCATCTGTATCCGAAATGGATACAAATGGATACATTGTTGCAACCGCAATACTTTTTCATGTCAAATATAATAGCGGGGCTCTCTGCAAGGGACAGAAGTAATTAAATGCCGGCCGTTGACGTAAAGAAAATCGTCCCATTTTTTTTTTTTTCTCTTTTTTTTTACCATTGGTGGTAACGTCGGCTTATTGAACGACTGATTTTTTTTTTTTTTTATTTTTAAAAACGGTCGGTTTTCGACCCGTCTATGGCCTGCATTAGCTGCTGAAAACAGCTCTTGGTCCTGAGAAACATCAGTAGCTGGCGGGACCACCTTCCAATCTTCCAATATGATTACCCATACTTCCTGACCTTCCCCCCCGAGCATTAAGAACTTTTAAAGAGGACGCCAGGGAGGGAAGGGGTTAAAGTGATACTAAAGTCTAGTTTTGTTTTGTTTTTCTGTATATAAAAAAGAATACTTACCTGCTATGTGCAATGGTATAGCACAGAAAGTTCCTTTTCTCCTCCTTGGCAGTCCCCTGCCAGCACTGTCAGCTTCTCCCTCCTCTGGGTGCCTTCTGCAGCAAGGCAGGTGCTAAGGAGTCACCCGTGTGTGCAAGCTCCTGAGAAGGGCTGTGTGCATCTATTGACATGCTCAGCGCTCATAAGCCACACCCCAGCTCCTCCCTCACAGAAGTTTGACTGAAAGCAGCACGGACCTATGGCTCTGCTGTCTTCAGTTTCTCCTGTGAAAGCGGGAAATGAGGGGAGCAATGCTTATAGACAGTGCTGGAGTGGTGACATGGAGCCAGGTAAGTGATTAGGGACGGTGGGGGGGGGCAGGTTAGGACAAATAGTAGGATGTTCTGTACCTTAATGCATGGCTTTTTCAGCTTTAGGATGTCTGTTACAACCAACATTGGACTGATTTACTAAAAGAATAGAGACTGTTCACTCATCAAAGTGGATGTTCACTTTGTAAATGTATTTTATGCATTATGTAAAATGAATGCTTGCTTAGTAATGAAGCGAGGTTATGTTCACTATGAATACTCTGCAAGACACACAACAAAATTAGGTCAATTAACCCCTTTGCAACAGTATTATGCACATTTGCGTCTATATGACAGGTGGGCCTTTACGCCAAGCCACCGCATATATGTATTACTGTGTTGTTCTGGAGCTCACTCAATCAGCACCCCCAGAAATGTGACTGAGCTGTCACCAACAGCTCAAGATCAACTGCCAACAATAAGTAACCAGTAGGATTGGCACCCAAATACTGTACACCAGCCTATTAGCTTCTGGCATCATGTTTCACTTAATGGGCCAACTGTTGCTGTCAGCAAGGGGTTAAAACACAGGATTTTTGTTTCATCTTGATTGAATGATTGCAGATGACCCAGAATTACCCTATTCACTAAGCCAAGTGAACATTTACCTTGTCAATTGAACTATATCTGCTTGTTTAGTAAATCAACCCCATACCTAATCACCAAAAATGAAAAAAAAAAAAAACCTGTAGAAAATATTAAATCAGCAAAACATGAAACTGATAAATTTCTTTTAATTTGCAAAAATAAGTGCATAAGATGCCACCAGAACCAATACTAAAGACAAAATCAGTGTCATGGATGGACTGTATCTGTGGCTGGCAGTGGCAGGGTGACAGTTGCAGTGAGTGGAGGATGATGGATCCACACTCTGACAGATCCCAGGCTGGAATTCCCCAGGCAATGGGGGGAAATAAAACGCTGTGACAGCAGGCAACTGAACTGAGCGATCCCACACAGTGACAGATCCGACACAACACATCAACACCAACACTGACACAGATCAGCAGGCCCAGCAGGCACTAGAAGAGCAGGCTGTGGGATCCTGATGATGTCATCACTCACTGACACATTGCATATGTGATGGATGGCCGGCTGGGTCACATTCACACAGACACGAGACATCAGAGTCAGACATTACCTTCCTCTGAAGGCACAGCTCCGCCTCCACTGATAAATGGGAAGAGAAGGGCTGGAACTCCACAGTGATCAGAAGCCACCAGCCGGATTGCAGTAGGGGACTGTGTCTGAGAGGAACACTGGAAGAAGCAGCAGCTCAGCTGCTACATTGGCCCCAGACACCCAGAATCCTCCTCTGTCCTTCCTTCCTCCCCTCTGCCACCACTCCTCTCAGCTAAAGGATCATTCATGACATGTCGACGTCCCACACAGAGAGAGTGCCAGCCTGTGCTGCGCCCAGGCGCCCCTAGGTGGCAGTGCTGCAACAGTGTACCTTTGCAATATTGCACTGGGTTTTCCTTTGCCCCAATTCCTCATTCAATGAATAGAGGTTTCGACTTTTCTGGAGTTTGACCCCTGTCCATTCCTGGAATCCAGAATCAGACAGTGCCTTTACAGCCAATAACAGTGCTTCGTTCTGGGGTGGGGCAGGAATTAAAGTCTAAGTCGGAAACATCATGGCCTCTATTGCATGTACGCCCAGGATCAAGCAGAACACTCTGGGTGTGCAGAAAATAATTTTCAGCATGACAGTAGATACATTTTAGGCACCATGATATGTCTGCATGAAAATTGTTGTGTTGTTTTACTAACTATAAGAACCCTGGGAGCAGACAAATGCATGTCAAAGGATTGCTGCTACTCCCGACCTGTCTATGCTAGATCATGCCCACTAATACGTTTCACCCTGCCCATTGGTGCTTAGTCATAGCAATGAATAAGCTCTAGTGGGTGGGGCAAAATGCGTTAGAGGGTGTGGTCTAGCGGAGACATGTGTGCTGAGGCCACTCTTTACACTCCAAACAGGATAGACTAATACAGTTCCATAACTGAAATGCTTGTGTAGCACTACCCGCTTAGGAGTCGCTGAGTTTTGAGTTCCCCTTAAAACTCTGCACAGCCAGGCAACACACATTTTCTTACACACTTTGCACTCAGAGTCAGTAAACAGTCCTTAAACTTGGTTTTGTGCTTCTATTAAGGGGTTTAGAACTTGGATGGGGTTTTGAGGTGCATGGGATGCCCAAGGAAACTGCAATCTTGAGGACAAACTCCTTAGCAACTATGTACAGAATTTAATGCAGAAGCCCTGGATGAGAAGCTAGTTGGGTTTTCCACCTGACTGCCCTCTCCCCTTATCCGGCACAGGGGGTGTAAGAGTACTCACACTGTCCTCTCCTGATGGGTTGGTGGCTGCCTTTAGGCCTTTCGCTGGGCTGGCTCCTTCCCTGCTGCTCAGGATGTCTTCTCTTGGAGACAGTAGTATAGTGAACATCCTCTTCTCCAGCACCTGCCTGTAGGTAGGCCCCCTTCCTGGGCCCTCTCCCAGGCTCACACTCCAGCCTCTCAATCCATCTTCCACCCGACACTGCTCCCTTCTACGCAGGCTCTGCGATGCTTAAGGGTTGTCTTGGCCTCCTGCCAGGGGATTGGCCAAGGTCCCTCAAGTATGCAAATCCAAGCTTCTTCCCCTCCTACATTCCTCCTCCAGAAAGCTATCAGGTTTATGGAGAGGTGGGAGGGCTCCAGAAGCCCTGACCTTCAGAACCTCCCTAGCCTCTCCTAAAGTGAACTATTGCCTCACTCCCAGGCTGACTCATCCCAGTCTGCTACTCATCCTCTTATTGACAAAAAAGCTACCCAGCTAACCCGACGGGCATTACACTTGGAAAGCATTCCAATAGAAAGGTATTTCCATACAAATCAAAACAAAATGGTGAAAAAAAATCATAATGGTAAGAAGTTACCTTTCACTGAACTGGTAGAGCGATATTCTTACAAATCTTATTATATAAGGATACATAACCTAATGATATAATGGATCTTTCCCTGTAACTCTCTTACCTAATTTGTAACCTTCCATCAATACCCCTCATTACTGTCACCCTTTCCTTTTCCATCTACGTTCCCCTGCTTTAACATGATGCATTTTTTTTTTCTTAGGATTGAATTAATTAATCTGGACTCTGATAGAATTGAACGTGAATTGCAAAAACTGCTCAAACAGACGAGCATGAAGCACCCTCCAGTAAAGGAGAAATCACCTGAAAAGGAGGAAATAAACCCCTACTCTCTGATCCCAGGTATGGTCCACCCAAGGTTGGAGCTGACTATTTTGCGACCTAGCAAGACCAGATACTCTCACCCCCCCCCTAAAAAAAATTCCCCCTCCCAGCATAAACCTTCCTTAAAAATCTGCTTGAATGGATTTACAGTTTTATAAAACAGTGGTTTTGCGCAAGGCGGCCCCGATCTTCTTCTTCTTGGGTCCCCTGCTGGCACTCTTGGCTCTTCCTCCATTTTGAGTGCCCCCATTGCAAGCTGCCTGCTATAGGGGCACTTTTGCGGGCTCTGTTCTGAGCCAGGCTGTGTGCATCTATTCCACACACAGGTAGGCCCTGCCCCCTGCTTCCTCTCCACAGGATTTGATTAACAGCAGCAGGAGCCAATTTCTCTTGCTGCTGCCTCTGTGTCCTATGAGAAGAGAGAGCAGCAACGTCCTGCGCACAGCGCTGAATTGAGATTGGGCCCAGTTAAATATTTAGTAGGGGGGGGAGCTGAACATGAAAGGTTTTTTACCTTAATGCAGAGAATGCATTAAGCCAAAAAAACGTTTAGCCCTTACAACCACTTTAACTGAAAAATCTCCTTTCATGTTGTGAGTGCTGCCAGATGCCTCATTCCACAACTTCCTGGACTCCCTGATGCTTTGCATTTTCTCCTCAATTTCTAAGGACTACATACCCCATGGTACTTTGCTGCCTGAACACACTGATTCCTGTACTGACTCCACCTTCTGAAACTCCTCCTCCCAGCACCTCTGTAGTTCAGAAGGCCTGCTCTGTGAAACGTGTGACACGGCAGTGCCTATCACAGGACATAGTGACTACAGGTCACAGAATTCAGGGAAGTAAATGTGTGCAGAGCATCACAAAGTTTAACAACTTCAGGATCCTTCAGATTAATAGGAATAGACTAGAAATATTTGATATATAATGTGTAAATTAATATATGTTTTTTTCGTTTTCATCATCGAAACGCCTTAAAATGAAGTGTGAACCGCACAGTGAATCCTTTATAAATAATCATCAGAGTGTATGCTAAGGCTAAGCTCAACTAATGGCAATCTTTTAGTTCTTGGTGAATACTAGCAGGCTGATTCACCTTTGTCTTTTATATCTGTTGAAACTATTTTTTTGTTATCTTTTATTAATAAAGCCATATCATACCATTTTAGGCCCCTTTCACACTGCCGGTCCGATCGGGTCAGTTTTTCAGGCAGACGTGATCAGACCATCCATAGCTCTCTACATATGTCCGCTGACACCCGCCGGCATCCGATCGTGTACGCTAAAAACAGACGGATGGGGATCCGTTCCCCATCTGTCAGATCAGATCGGATGATCCATCCAACCGCCCCATAGAAAACGGCAGGCTGTGTCTGTGTCCGCTCTGCATCAGCGTAGTGGACACAGACCTGTCATCCGCTTGATCAGCTGAAAAATCCCCCCACTGGGCAATCAGATCTGTTGATGGGTCCGCCCCAACTGAAAGGGGGCTTAACCGTTTGCAATAGGACATACAGTAAATAGATATATGTTATTTACAGTGCAAAACATAACACAGTGGGGGTCACTTACTAAAACTGGCGGATGCAAAATCTGGTGCAGCTCTGCATAGAAACCAATCGGCTTCCAAGCTGAAGACAGAAGCTGATTGGCTACCATGCACAACTGCACCAGATTCTGAGTGCTCCAGTTTTAGTATCCGCCGCCCCCCTCTGTCAATCCCTCCACTGGCTTCCAATTGACCAACGCATAAAATTCAAATTGCTAACATTGACGTACAAAGCTGTTCATAACACTGCCCCAAACTACATCACCGACCTGATATCCAAATACCACCCAAAACGTACTCTCCGCTCCTCACAAGACCTCCTACTCTCTAGTTCCCTGGTTTCCTCCTCCCATGCCCGTGTCCAGGACTTCTCCAGGGCTTCCCCCATCCTCTGGAACTCACTACCCCAATCCATCAGACTGTCACCTACTCTCCTCACCAGGGGCGGACTGACCATCTGGAAACGTGGGCACTGCCCGCGGGCCCGGGGTCAATAGGGGGCCCCATGAGATGCCCTTGGTACCTTTTTCATAGGCTTTTTGAGTTTGGGCAAGGACACAGGGGCCCCATAATCCCCTATTGCCCGGGGGCCCCATGAGTTGTCAGTCCGCCCCTGCTCCTCACCTTTAGGTGCACCCTGAAAACCCGTCTCTTCAGGGAAGCCTACCCTGCCCTCAGCTAATTGCCGATCCCCTCCACTCTTCCCACCACTCCATCCCCCACAGCTATTTCCTCCTGTACCACTATCCCCTCCCCCCTAGATTGTAAGCTCCAAGGAGCAGGGCCCTCGAACCCCTCGTGTATTGTATTGTATTGTTACTGTACTGTCTCGTGTACTGTCTCCCATTGTAATGTACAGCGCTGAGCAAACTATTGGCGCTATATAAATCCTGTATAATAATAATAATAATAATAGTAAATTTCCCCCATTAAAGTGGTTCTAAAGGAAGAAGGTTGTTTACGTTAAAGTGGTTGTAAAGGCTCTATGCATGAAGGTAAAAAACCTTCTGTGTGCAGCAGCTTCCCCCCAATACTTACCTGAACCCCATCTCAATCCAGCGATGGGCACAAGAGTCTCGGCTGTCACGGGTCTCTCCCTCCTCATTAGCTGAGACAGCAGAGGGAGCTATTGGCTCCCGCTACTGTCAATCACAGCCAGTGAGCCGATGAGGAGAGAGCGTCAGGTAGCGCCAAGTGTGCCCATAGCAAAAAGCTATGAAGAAGAGGCTCGGGACTGCTCTGTGCAAAAGCATTGCACAGAGCAGGTAAGTAAGACATAATATGTTTGTTAGTTTTTTCCTTGTGATAGAGCGGTAAGGTGTGTCAAGGTGTTGTCAGGCATATTGTAACCGGGCTTTTTTGTGGCATTGGTGCAGTATAGGCTTCTTTTTGAAAACTCGACCATGCAGCTAATTTTTTTTCAAGTATCATCGTATTGTGCTACTTGAAACAAGCACACTGTCTTTTTCTAGAACAGTCTGTATTTCTCCTGAGGTTACCTATGGGTTTTTCTTTGTATCCTGAACATTCTTCTGGCCATCCTGCTTCAATCTCTCTTGGTCTTCCTGACCTTGGCTTGGTATCAAGAGATCCCCAAATTTTCCACTTCTTAATAAGTGATTGAGCAGAACTGACTTGCATATTCAAGGCTTTGGATGTCTTTTTACATCCTTTTCCATCTTTATATAGTCCCATTACCTTGTTACGCAGGTCTTTTGACAGTTCTTTTCTTCTCCCCATGGCTCAGTATCTATCCTAGTCGGTGCATCCACGTGAGAGCTAACAAACTCATTGACTATTTATACACTGACACTAATTGCAATTTAAAAAGCCACAGATGTGGGAAATTAACCTTTAATTGTCATTTTAACCCGTGTGTGTCACCTTGTGTGTCTGTACCAAGGCCAAACATTCCAGGGAATGGAAACTTCTGATCCGGGCCATTTGGGGGAATTCTCTGTTATTATTATTTAAAAAGGAGCCAAAGAATTATGTTATAATAAACCGCTTTATATCATCACTATCATCGCTATCCTTAAATAAAAGACAGTTTTTTGACACGATCGGTCATATTTTTCGCACGACCTCCTGCTCTCTAGCTCCCTTGTCTCCTCCTCCCATGCTCGTCTCCAAGACTTCTCCAGAGCTTCCCCTATCCTCTGGAACTCTCTACCCCGATTTATCAGACTATCGCCTACTCTGCTCACTTTTAGGCGATCTCTGAAAACCTATCTCTTCAGGGAAGCCTATCCTTCCCTCAGTTAATAACGGAATCTTCTATTCCTCCTACCAGTCCATCCCCCACAGTTATTACCTTTTGTACCACTAGCCCCTCCCTCCTAGATTGTAAGCTCCCAGGATCAGGGCCCTCCTAACCCTCTTGTATTGAACTGTATTGTTGCTGTATTGTCTCCCGGTATATTGTAAAGCGCTGAGCAAACTGTTGGCGTTATATAAATCCTATATAATAATAAATATTAATAATAATTTTCAATATCAATGGCAAAATATCATGATTTCTGCCAGGGTATGCCAACTTTTGAGCACAACTGTACATGAGATCCCGACTTGTGAGATCACGTGTATTGACCACCAGGGTTACTGTTTTCATTTTCTAGGCATGTCTATAGAAGATTCTCTTGATATGGCCGCACTTGAAAATTACCAGCAACAGTTAGATGACAAGAAGCAACAACTCATTTCCAGCATGAATACCAAATATGTTCCCATCCAAAGAAAACAGGAACTGGATTTAAAACTAAGCCTTGCCCTCCAAGAAAGGGAAGAAGCTGAACTATTAAACAAGAAACTGATGGACAGGTAAAACACATACGGCATAATACAATCAATATGAAGGTATGTTACCCTTCAAGTGGTAAAAAAGTCAATTTTATTTTTCCTCCATCAAATACAAATTATATAACTCACATACATTTGATTCTTTTTGTTTTCTTTTTTTTTTTTTTTTTATTATTAATTTGCTCCTCGGAGCTTCCTTTTTAATTGTTTGCTGCCTGCATTTTGTATTTTCCTTTTCTCTCTGTGCCCTCTTTGCCACTGGGACCTATGGCGTCCTGTGTGAGTCTCCACAATGTGCGCGTTCCTGCTCTGTGGTACTACTCTACGTGTGTCTCTCTCGCACTGGCTGCATTTTTATCTGATTTAGGGATAACAATTTTGACTTTAATACCACTTTAAATCTTTCATCTAATTTCTATTTCCACTTTTGCATCCAAATTGATATAAAACCTACTTCATATTTGTTACATGTCTGTATTCACATAGCATAAAGTAAAAAAAAAAAAAATTTAAATTGCAGCTTACCTTTTATAGCTGCTCTATTCTGAATCCTCCAGCGAGGAAAAATCCTAGGTAGTTCTCTTTGTTTATAAGGGGGTTGGACAGCATTGTTTGTCATAATTAACTCTGTCTGTATTGTGCAGGAAGATCTCCATTAACATTCTCCATGCACACGGGGTGTTTTATTAATGCTGGTAACATTAGCTGTGTAAAATCACGTTAAAACATGAGTTTTTCAGCGTATTTTTAGCGATTTTGTATTGGTGTTTAGTGGCGTTTTTCACATTTGTGTTTTTGAGCATTTTTTAGTTTTACTTGACCAAAAAAATTTATATTTTTTTGGTCAAAAAAAGTCCAAAAACACTGGTTTGCCGCGATTTACTGCGTTTTTCAGCGTTAGAGCATTTTTACAGCTAAAAACTCCTCTAGAAACCTACTAGGTCTGGGGGGGGAGGTTTCCAGCCAAAAAACATTGATTACAGTCTATGTGTGCATGGACACATAGGATAACATGCTGGGGGTTTACTAGCTGTAGGAAAAAACGTCAAAAGCCAAAAACAGTCGCTGTAAAAACGTCCCGTGTGCATGAGGACTAATTGATCAGCTACAAAGTTTTAAGCATTTACTTAGCAGCAATTATTATGAAATCTCCTCTGGAGGGAGTCATTTAAAAGGAATGGGGGGGCTCATATTTTCACAATCATGCCTAGTCTAAATCAAGCTTTATAAATAGTTACATTTTCAGTATACTCTTGGGATGCACACAGACTGTAAGCAGCATTTTTTTGGCTGGAAAGAAAGCCCAGAACTAGAGGGTTTCTAGAGGTTTCTTTTTAGCTGTAAAAACGCTCTAAGGCCGGCCATACATGGGTCGAAATTCGAACAATTTTTCATCCGAAAATCGGACCTAACAATAATCGGACTATTTTTGCTCTGTTTTGAGTCAATGGCACCAGCTGATTTTCGTGATTCCTCCCCTTTTTGGTGATCGGGCATGTTGGAAAAACCATGAAAAACTACCGATTTTCGACTCAATGACGGTGAAATCGTACGATCATTTTTCCGAAAAGAATATGCGCATGAGCCATGACCTGGAAGGAACAGAAGTTTCGCCTGTTATGTGGGGTGAACTTTATGAGTTGGTCAGTTGATTTTCGAAATCATTTATGGCACCATTGGATTACGGAGCGAACAATCGTTTGGAACTCGAACCATGTATGGCCTGCATAAGACTCCATGCACACGGGGCGTTTTAATAACGCTGGTAACGTTAACTGTGTAAAGTCACGTTAAAAACCTGAGTTTTTCAGCTTTTTTTAGCATCTTTGCAATAGTGTTTTGCCGCATTTTTCTGTGTCTGCGGTTTTTAGCGTTTTTTTTTTGGTCAAAAAAAGTCCAAAAACGCCGGTTTTCTGCGATTTACCGTCATTTACCGCAGTTTACCACATTTTGCCATGTTTTCAGCGTTGGAGTGTTTGCGTTTTTAGCATTTTATTCACCAAAAACACCGTTTTTCAGCGTTCAAGCGTTTTTACAGCTAAATTCCTCTGGAAGCCCACTAGTTTTGTTTTTTTTTTTCCAGCCAAAAAACACTGATTACAGTCTGTGTGTGCTTGGACACATAGGATACCATGCTGGGGGGTTTAATGGCTGTAGAAAAAAATGTCAAAAGCCAAAAACAGCAGTTGTAAAAACGTCCCGTGTGCATGAGGACTAACGCTGCAAAATGCAGCAAACTGGCATTTTTGGACATTTATTTAGCAAAAAAAACATTTTTTGTTAAAAAAACTGCAAGCACGAAAAAACGCGGCTAAATGCTAATGCAAAGATGCTAAAAAATGCTGAAAGAGTCGTGTTTTTAACGTGACTTTACACAGGTAACGCAACCAGCGTTATTAAAACGCCCCGTGTGCATGGAGCCTTCTGGCGATTTATACATTGTTGTAAATTTACATTCAGCATCATCTATTCCATGTCATGTATAATTCATCTGATGTAATAGTATGGTCTCTCATTTTCTTTAGTTACCAGAAGAAAAGAGTCATTGCAGATGCAATATCGTTTTGGGCAAAATCTAATAAAAATGTTGGTCTCTATGAGACATTAGCGGAAGTGATAGAGAAAGAAAGTGAATTGAAAGGTATTTCCTGTCCAGATACATACATGGTGTTCATTTCTTATGGTCACTGACACATGGGAACATGCTTGAGGGTGCACTTTGTATATGGCCCTGATTTCAATCACAGTGGGACATGTCACAGTTGCATCTGTTGATTCCAAGGTAGCTATATTAACCCCTAGACGACGAGCGCACGCAAATATGCAGCCTCTCTTCATCTGGGCCTTGACGTCGAGCGTCTGCATATTTGCGTGCCATTAGAAAATGCATATGTGCTGAGAGTGTGCTCCCTGCGCTCTCCCAGCACATCTCTATGACTTTCGGAAAGGTCCCGATCTCCTCTTGCGATCGGGACCTTTTCCGATCATGTGACCGCCGTGATGGCGAATCACGGTGGTCACATGACCATAAGACCCCCCCGCCTCCCGGCTTCTGAAACTCTTAAAGGGCCGGGAGGCATCGGCACAAAGGGGTTAAGGTTGCTGGCATCCACCCATTGTGATGAACATCCGCTCTATTGAGCGCCGCCCTGGACTCCACTCTTCCTCTGCAGTCTGGAACTTGACCGGTGCTGGACCGCAATGTTAAGTGCCGCAATGTCTGTGTACAAAGCGCTGCACACTGAACACATCACTTCTTAGAAAAAGCTTTGTTCCTGTGAAAATCTGTGGGGTGATCAGAAGAGGTCTGTGCACAGGAGATGCCCTCGCAATCTGACCGATTTGGAGTGTTTTTGCAAGGAAGAGCGGGCAAATATTGCCAAGTCAAGATGTGTCATGCTGATAGACTCCTCCCCAAAAAGACTGAGTGCTGGAATCACATCAAAAGGGGCTTCAACAAAGGATTAGTTTAAGGGTGTGCACACTTATGCAACCATATTATCTTAGTTTTTTATTTTTACTTCCCTCCCCCTAAAAGATTTCAGTTTGTTGTTCGTCTGAGTTATACAGTTTATAGGTCACATTAAAGGTGGCAAAAGTTCTGAAATATTTATCTTTGTCTCATTTTTTTACATCACAGAAACCTGACATTTTAACAGGGGGGTGTGTAGACTTTTTATATCCACTGTACATATACAAGGCCAATTTAGACAGGATCCAATTAACCTACCAGCAGGTCTTTGGAGTGTGGGAAGAAACCGGAGTACCTGGAGGAAACCCACGCGGGCACAGGGAGAACATGCAAACTCCAGGCAGGTGGTGCAGTGGTTGGGATTCGAGCCAGTGAGCCTAGTGCTGTCAGGCAGAAGTGCTAACCATTCAGCCACTGTTCTGTATTGCATACTAGCATATTGTGGCAGACTTTCCTTTACAACAGAGCTCTCCAGCGGCACATTGTCACCACTGCCGGTGCTCCCATCTTCACCAAATCTTCCTTCGTGGTATGGGCTACCCAGCCATTTGAATGGCTGGTCTGCGATGACTACACTCCCACACATTTGCACATAGGAGTCAACATCGCGGCACGGCACTTTGCTTTCACGCTCACTGTGCCCAGAATGCAGAGAATCACTGGGCTTGTGCACTGATATAATTGGCAACAGGGAAGATGAATTTCTCCTAAACGGTGCAAATTTAGGAAATATTCATGGTACCTGTATAAGCTTACTTGTGGGTACAATTTAAAATAGAATGTTTACTACCAATTTTATATTACAAATCTCCATAATTAAAGTGAAACTGAAGGCAAAAATAAAAAAAATAATTGGGAACAGACCGGCTCTTTATTGCAGGAGAGACATACAATGTCTCTTCTGCAATAAAATACACTTACCTGCCTATTCCCAATCCCCTGTAGAACGAACACTGAGCTGCACATGTGCAGGAGTGATGTCATCACACGCCTGCCAATCAAGACAGACGAAAACCGGCATCTGGAAGAAATCAGGGGAAAGATGCTGATGAGGGACCTTGTAGGCATCAGATCATTGAAGCATAAGTTATTATTATACAGGATTTATATAGCGCCAACAGTTTGCGCAGAGCTTTAAAAAATGAAGGTAGACATTAGAGTTACAATACAATTTGGTACAAGAGGACACAGAGGGCCCGGCTCGTTAGAGTTTACAATCTAGGAGGAAGGGTTGAGTGATACAAAAGGTAATAGCTGTGGGGGGATCAGCTGATGGAAGAAATTAAAGGCAGTTTACTAGTTAGAAGCAGGATAGTCTTCTTTAAAGAGAGGTTTTCAGGGATCGTCTAAAGGTGGATAGATTTGGAGATAGGCGGACAGATTGGGGTAGGGAGTTCCATAGAATAGGAGAAGCTTGGAAGAAGTCCTGGAGACAAGCATGGGAGGAGGTGACAGGGGAACTAGAGAGCAGAAGATCTTGGGAGGATCGAAGAGAGCGGGTTGGTTGATATTTTGAGACCAGGTTGGTGATGTAGCTGGCGGAAGGGTTGTGTATGGCTTTGTTAGTTGTTAGTATTTTGAATTTTATTCGTTGCGCGAGTGGAAGCCAGTGGAGGGATTGGCAGAGAGGGATGGAGGACACTGAGTGGGGGCCAGTGGAGGGATTGGCAGAGAGGGGTGGAGGATACTGAGTGGAGGTCAGTGGAGGGATTGGCAGAGAGGGATGGAGGACACTGAGTGGAGGCCAGTGGAGGGATTGGCAGAGAGGGATGGAGGACACTGAGTGGAGGCCAGTGGAGGGATTGGCAGAAAGGGGTGGAGGACACTGAGTGGAGGCCAGTGGAGGGATTGGCAGAGAGGGCTGGAGGACACTGAGTGGAGGGATTGGCAGAGAGGGGTGGAGGACACTGAGTGGAGGCCAGTGGAGGGATTGGCAGAGAGGGGTGGAGGACACTGAATGGAAGCCAGTGGAGGGATTGGCAGAGGGGGTGGAGGACACTAAGTGGAGGTCAGTGGAGTGATTGGCAGAGAGGGGTGGAGGACACTGAGTGGAGGTCAGTGGAGGGATTGGCAGAGAGGGGTGGAGGACACTGAGTGGAGGCCAGTGGAGGATTGGCAGAGAGGGATGGAGGACAATGAGTGGCAGGATTGGCAGAGAGGGGTGGAGGAGACTGAGTGGAGGCCAGTGGAGGGATTGGCAGAGAGGGGTGGAGGACACTGAGTGGAGGTCAGAGGAGTGATTGGCAGAGAAGGGTGGAAGACACTGAGTGGAGGCCAGTGGAGGAATTGGGAGAGAGGGGTGGAGGACACTGAGTGGAGGGATTGGCAGAGAGGGATGGAGGACATTGAGTGGAGGGATTGGCAGAGAGGGGTGGAGGACACTGAGTGGAGGCCAGTGGAGGGATTGCCAGAGAGGGGTGGAGGACACTGAGTGGAGGCCAGTGAAGGGATTGGCAGAGAGGGGTAGCAGACACTGAACGGTTGGTAACGTGGATGAGCCTGGCAGCAGTATAGGTGAGTATTTGTGCCTTTAGTTTCACTTTAAAGGATAAGTTCACCTTTCGTGACATGTTACATGTTACACGCATATTCAGGGTGTAACATGATATGATCAGACCAGCCCCCGCTCCCTGCTTTGACAGCTAGCAGGGGACCTTCTCCCCCCTCTAGCTGTCAAGTTAAAAAAACTGTTGCTGTGCGGGGCTCCGCCCACCCGGCCGCATCACTCATTGACAGTCCCCTTTGAATGAGAGACTACAAGTCCCGACAGCCTTAGCGGCTGTTGGCTTGTAGTCCTCCGCGAACTACAATGGCGCTGTGAAGTGCCGTGGTAGTTCATTCATTCTTTATGTCAGTATATCTGCTTGCTTGTACATCCTGTATGGACAAGCAGATATACTGACAGGTCTGCAGGAGACCTTCATGGCAGCAGCAATCTGCTGATCACTGGTGCAATGATTTACAGGCTTCTGCAGACAAAAATAATAAATGCACATTATTTTAACTTGCAAAAAAATCTGCATATATAATTTTTTTACTAAAAGGTGAACTTATCCTTTAAGTGCAATCAGGGTGAAACGTGTCAGAGGCGCGTCGCCACAGGTGGGCAATGTGAGACTACAGACCATTTTACAAAGCCTTTTCTAAGGAGTGGCATGTTCAGTGTACAGCTGTTTGTATACAGATGTTGTGGTGAATAATGGCATACTTTGAGTCTGGTTTTATTTATTTATTACATTCATTACTTGTATAGTGCTGTCAATTTACGCAGCACTTCACATATATATATTGTACATTCACATCAGTCCCTAACCCTCAAGGGGCGTACAATCTCAGGTCCCTAACTTACATTCATACATACACATACTAGGGCCAATTTGGACAGGATCCAATTAACCTACCAGCATATCTTTGGAGTGTGGGAGAAAAACCCACGCAGGCACAGGGGAGAACATGCAAACTCCAGGCAGGGGGGGTGCCATGGCTGGGATTCAAACCAATGACCCTTGTACTGCCAGGCAGAGGTGCTAACCATTTAGCCACTGTGCTGCCCAGGTTCACATATATGAAGTGCGGTATATCACATGTGATTTGCACAGGAACCGCACCGCATTCCTGTAAAAATCACAAGCGATTTATGTGCGATGCGATTGGAGCCGTACATTTTGTATGGCTGCAATCGCACCACACCAAAAAGGTGCATGACCCTTTTTTTGGTCCGCACTAGAATCGGATCACATGGGTATTCACACCCATGCAATCCGATTCTTCACATCGCACCGTGTTTTGTGGACCGCTTTTGGGGTGTTGTTAACTTAACATACACACCCGCAATGGTTCGCATGAACGGGGTGCGATTCTGATGCAGTGCGGAATTTGCACAGAAAACGCTGCGAATTCTGCACCGCATCAGTGTGTACCAGGGCTCAAAGTGTGTATCTGCAGTACTTTTGCAGTGAACTGACTCAATGCAACTATGCAGGGAGTGCTTGCACCTACAAGACCTATTTTTATAGGACAGATATTTAAATTATACCCTCAAATCTGTATTTTTATAAATAAAGCCCATAATGTGCAGCCAAGCGGAGCATCTTTTCATAAAATCATAGTGGGGGAAGGAAAGAAATTGATGCATTTTGCGCTTTTTGTGCTTTTCCATGATTCATATGATTAAGCGTTAGAAAACCACGAAACACGTCAATGCCTTTCCTTCCCCCCACTGTGATTTTCTGTCCTCAGATATGTTTTTTGATAAATAAAGCCCACAAGGCGTGCAGCCATCCGGAGTATCTTTTCATTCTCAGTGGGCATAGATTTACTTTAACATCAGAGCTTAGCATCTTATTTACCTATAAAATCCATATTCAGAATTGCAGGCATTTGTAAAAGAACAATTAGCATTTGCACTGTCAGAAAATAAATTTTGGCTTTGTCATGGAAGTCTTTTTTTTTATGACTTTGTATTTAGCTACAGATGAGTCAGCACCCACTAATGTGTTTGATGATCTGGAGCCAAGGAAGAGTATGGAAGCTGAATCCTTACTAGAATATGTAGAAAGGTAAAAGACATGACTTTGTCATTCCTAATATCACATATTAAAATGAAAAACAACATCACACTAAGAAGACAGAAATATAATTAGATCCACTGCACTATTTTTTATATAGCCTCATTGTCCATTACTAAGTAATCCAACCAAGGATAGAACAGTCTGCCTATGAATCCAAACCAAGGATGGAACAGTCTGCCTATGAATCCAACCAAGGATGGAACATGTGCCTATGAATCCAACCAAGGATGGAACAGTCTGCCTATGAATCCAACCAAGGATGGAACAATCTGCCTATGAATCCAACCAAGGATGGAACATTGTGCCTATGAATCCAACCAAGGATGGAACAGTCTGCCTATGAATCCAACCAAGGATGGAACAGTCTGCCTATGAATCCAACCAAGGATGGAACAGTCTGCCTATGAATCCAACCAAGTATGGAACAGTTGTGCCTATGAATCCAACCAAGGATGGAACAGTCTGCCTATGAATCCAACCAAGGATGGAACAGTCTGCCTATGAATCCAACCAAGGATGGAACAGTCTGCCTATGAATCCAACCAAGGATGGAACAGTCTGCCTGTGAATCCAACCAAGGATGGAACAGTCTACCTATGAATCCAAGCAAGGATGGAACAGTCTACCTATGAATCCAAGCAAGGATGGAACAGTCTGCCTGTGAATCCAACCAAGGATGGAACAGTCGGCCTATGAATCCAAGCAAGGATGGAACAGTCTGCCTGTGAATCCAACCAAGGATGGAACAGTCGGCCTATGAATGTACATATATACTGGCACAAATCAACACTGTAACCTAAAACTTAAAAATGCTGGTTTTGAAAAAAAAATTTTTGCATCCTAAAAACAAAGCTTGCTTCCTTTTGGCCTCTTAAGTCAGGGCTTTTTTTTCTCAGAGAATAGGTGCAGGTTCCCCCCTCTTAGTCACGCCTTGTCTCTGCCCCCTACCCACCTCCAAGTACTGTCCCTTGATTTTACCTCCTACCCACCTCCCAGTACCGCCCCTTTTAGAGAATGCAGAACAAGGTATCATTTTGTGGTGCTAAGTAATTTGTATGGATTTTGTAAATGCTAACCAGAAAGGCAGTAAAATAGATGCCCTGCAGCTAGCAGCAATGGAACAGTCTGCCCCCAGCAAGAAAAGACCCACCCCTACCCCAGCAAGAAAAGATCCACCCCAGCAATAATACACCCCAATCAGCAAAAATAGATCTCCCAGTAACCAGCAACAATAGACCCCTCCATCAACAGTAGATCCTTCTCAACAACGATACAGTAAAGGAAATAAGTATTTGATCCCCTGCTGATTTTGAATGTTTGCCCATGGTGGAGAGTTTGGAATCTGATTGTTTGATTGCTCTGTGGACAGGTGTCTTTTATGCAGGTAACAAAATGAGATTAGCAGCACTCCCTTTAAGAGACTGCTTCTAATCTCAGCTTGTTGCCTGTATGAAAGACACCTGGTAGCCAGAAAGCCTGCTGAAATGATAGGGGATCAAATACTTATTTCTCTCATGAACATGCAAATCAGTGCATCATTTGTTAGACATGCATTTCTTTTGAATTTTTTGTTGCTTTTCTGTCTCTCACTGTTACAATACACCTTCCATTCGATTTTTAGACCGATCATTTCTTTGTGAGTGGGCAAACATTCAAAATCAGAAAGGGATCAAATACTTATTTCCTTCACTGTAGATCCCCCACCAGCAAAAATAGACCACCAGCAGCAACAGTAGACATCCCCTACAACAATAGACCTCCCAAGAAACAACAGATCCACCCAAGAGACAATAGATCCCATAGCAGCCAGCAACAATAGACCCTCCAGCACACCCCAGGGTACTGGAACTCCTCCTACATACAAAGTTTGTGCAGAGTTTTGTACTTGTAGAGAGTCTATACCAGCCCTTCTCAATTTTTTTTCCATGGAGAAACCCTTGGATTAACTTTCAGAGCTCAGGGAATCCCTGCTGATAATTACTATGCCATAGTTCATGGCGCATTAGCGTGATGGTCAGTGGAGAGAAAGCTTCTTACATTTATGGTAATTTGGCAAGAATCCCTCTGTACAGATAGCTATAAAGATCATTGCTGACAGTTATTATTCATCTGAGAGACAGACGTTGCTTATTGCTCAAGGAACTCTTAGCAACTGCTCAAGGAACCCTGGCTGAGAAAGGCTGGTCTACAAGGCCAGCTGAGATACGTTCGCAAGTACTTTCTATGAAGAGGATAAGAATTCTAATGTTGGCTTACAAAAGTATATCAGCGATTGGGACAGGTTTTCTAAACTACATATTTGATTGTTTCCCATAAATGGTGCCAACCAGCAGTTTTTGGGGGCCACCTACAGACTTAAGACATCATCTGATTTGGCCAAAAATGCTTTAAAGCCCAAATCCAGGATATTAGCAACTCCCCCCCCCCCCCAAATAAGCATTAGTATGAAAATAAAGCCTATCCAAATGCCCGTTTTACTTATCTTAGGCCACAGTCATTTAGCAATCATTCTCATTACTTTCTGGGGTCCTTTGAGTGTCCATGTTACTACTTGTACACTGTGGACATCTCCTATTTGGTGGGTGGAGACAACACTGCCAGTGGTAGAATCCACTCTCATACATTCCAGAGGCAGGAGGACACACAAAGGCAGTGAGGGGGCCAGTGACCAAGAAGAATGAGCAGGCAAAAATGGCTGGTCCCCAGGTTAGGAGATTAGCTTGGCTCATAGAGGACATTGTCACATTCCCCCATTACTCTACAGGATGACTTAGGAGGAGATGTTTGCAAACACGACACGACACGAGGAGTAAGGTAATTGAAACTTTATTTTTTCCTGGAATTTGGGCTTTAACTGAACAAGAATCAGACTCCAAAAATATGCTTGGAGAATGTGATTTTCATACACTACTGTATTAAAGGGGACCTATACAGTGGAAGTCATGCCACCAAAAAAGTCAAGGGGATGGAAAAGGACTACTCACCAGTATTGCTACTAGGCTTCCTGCAACTGATCTGTTCCCCATCACTGATTTGCCATGCCTTTTTCCATGCTGTGTCTGTGGAAGTGGCCTTCTTTGTAGAGGAACAGGGCTTTGTTTGTTCATGCCAAACATGTTTCCCAATGAGTAGTGAACTGATAGTAATAAAGCAGCAGGAGAGGTGGAGGAATCACCGATTCACAGCAAAAACAAAGCAAAAGCAGTGAGATCCTTCCACTGAAGGTCCTCAGGTACAGCTTCCTCTCCAGCACCCTTCAGAAGAACAGTGAGCTGCACAGCAGTACCATCACCAGCTGTGACTACAGAGCTCAGGAAGACACGACAGATCTCATGTGAATCGTGGGCTTTGGAGGTAGGAATGGGCAGGATATGCCTTAGAAGCTCTCACCTGCAGATATGCCGTTATGAGGTTATAGGAACAGTGGTGCCAAGGCAATATCACATATCAAGAATTGCACTGCTACTTTTTAGAAGGCAAAAGGTGAATTTTTAGGCTGTTACTCAGCTGCAATTAACCTTTTTATATATTTGTATGTTTTGACTATGGGTCCATTTTTAACTCTTTCCTAGAAACCTATTTAAAAACAATTAAAAATGAACTGACGAAGCTGCTAAACAGTTTTTTCTTGGGAATAAGAAATGTTATTCTTGGCACAAAACACTGCGATAGTGACATGACAAAGCTAATTAACCTTATTAAGTGTGATGCCCCCTTGTGGCAGCTAATAAGCTGTCCTTTTTGAACACAATGTTATATACTCCAGCGCTCAGAATGTATTCTTTGTCCTTTGCCAGATTTAATGAGCTGTTAGTCAGCGGACAGTACAAGGCTGCGGCTCTCTATGCAGCTCACAGTCCCAGGGGCATTCTCAGAAATATAGAAACCATGGAGAGGTTTAAAGGTAAGAAGAATCTTCTACTTTTTGTACTGCCATGATAAACCATAAAAACTGTGTAAGGAAATATTGCAGTAAAACTATCATTTCCTCATAATGGACAAGCAGGTTTACTTGACCACAGGAGCGCTTACTTACCCACACTGCACTGCTCCCTCAGCCAAAACAATGCTTGAAAAAAAAAAGTGCTGGAGCACTATTAAAATGAGCCGAATTGCATGACATCACTACACTACGGCCTACATTTTATGAATGGGCTGTAAAAAAGCTATTTTATTTTTTGAGGAACACAGGAAGTCTTTCACTTTTTGGGTTATATGGCCACCTACAGGAGAATTGGACACTGGCAAACAAAAGATGGTAGGCCAGCCAGGATAACCCCTTCTACCACCAGTATGCCTCATTCTTTCTTCAGCTCTGCTGCTTTTTTTCCTAGCACCTTTTTCTTACTGTTCAAGATCTTTTTCTTTAATAAAGACACTTCTTTACACCGCTGCTAGAGCTGATATTTTCAATTGCAGCTATCTGGTGCAGCCAGTTCGGTATGGTTTGAAAGTAACCTCCAGGCCCTGGGGTTTGCATAGACTGCATTCCAGATTTTGCTTCAGTAACAATTTAGTCACAGAGTGTATTCCAGGTCCAGAGCCACTGGCATTGCCTCCAGTCTTTGAAGACACACATTGTGAGTAGGCTGGAACACTAGGTCACCAGGTCAAACACCAGGAGCTACCTCAAGTACATAGGTTACTGGTTGGCTTTAAAATTCCCTGTTTCCCATGCCGAAGGGGTTAATTTTGTGGGCCTGATTGCTGATGTCACCTGCTGGGTAGAGTGTTGCACATGAAACCTGCATCTAAGATGTGTATGGTCTGCTTGGTCTTTGAGGAGCAATGTCTCTTCAGTTCTACTCTTCATGCCATTATCAAGCTACTGGTGGCAAGAGTACCCATCTTTCTCAGTTGAAGCCTAAGGGACAGACTACAAAGTATTCTACCACTTTATCAGTTATGAAACATTGCTATCTTTTCTCCATTCCTGCACTATCCACATCCAGACCGCCAAGCTTGGCTCCCAGCTCACGGACAAAGTCTGAGGCTCAGTGTTTGTCAAACAGACAACCTTTCTCAGCCATGAAAGCTCTTCCCCATTTTCCAGAGTTTGGGGACATTTGGTATCCTTTGTGAACACTTGGTGCTTACATCTCAAACACCTTGGTGCTGAAAGTTGTATACAAAGGCTACAAGCTGGGGTTTTGCTCCCTAACCTCTTTCTTGTTTTCTCACCTCCAACCTTCCTCGTCAGCATATAAATGAGTCTTCTCGATCAAGATGTCATTGCCCCAGTTTCAGTGACAGAATGGTTTCAAGGGGTTTTACTCCAACCAGTTTACAATTTCCAAACCCAAAGGGGGCATTCACCCCATCTTGGATTTAAAATCACTTGTAGGCAGGTGCAGTCTATTTTCTCCACTGCAGGTGGCGCTCAACCACAGCGACACTACAAAGGGAGAGGGAGTCAAGAGGAACATACTCCTACATGGTTTCCTGGGTCACTGGGGAAGTGATCCAGATGGATGCTGCTGCCCCATATAGCTCTGGCGGCTGAGTCTATTTAAGACCATGGCTTCCGGGCTTGGCATGCATTTTTTGCGAGTGGGTAGTGTAGGGACAGGTCACTCATTTGTCAGGGACAGTGAATAGCGGTAGGGAGAGATTCCAGATGAGTAGGAACACGCTATTGTTCCTGGAATCCTCTCATTTGGGTACAGGTTGCATTCTGCCCTCCAAAACAGACACTGTTGGCACACCTGAGACTTGCACAAATCCACATTGCCGTTTCATCCTGGGAGTGTTCCTTGTTGGGTGCCTTCGCACCAGGCTGAAGTTTGAACTTTTGCTTTAATACAAGTTCTGTTTGCTGCACCTCCCCACGCACTAAATGTCTATTTTTTTCAAACCCATCCCTCAATTGGGCTGTTTTTGGATGTCCCAAAGGTAAGGATCTTCCTGCGTCCCCTGATGGACTAGAAAAGAATTGAATTTTTGTACTCACCCTGAAATATTGTGGGCATTAATGGAAATAGGTCTTAGTTTACGATCATGTTCTCAGCAGTGCTTGTTACTATGCTGAAGCATGCTGGTAAATCAGATGGGTTATTCTGGGCTCGTCTACAGGCTTATTTCTCAGTGTCCAGGCCCGTTGAAAGTGGCAGGATAACCCAGAGGTGAAGGACTTCCTGTATCCCTCAATGGAATGAAATGGATTTTGTGATAGGTACAAAAATCCTATTTTCCTAATGTAATAAAGTAGCAAGTGCATTTATGGATATATATTGTACAGCAATTTTAATTTGTGAACATTTTTTCTTCAGCCGCTAAACATTTTAATGATTGTGCAATGGGAATGTCATCATTTTGTATTGGGAATGTCATAACTTCATTTCTATATTTTCTTGTTACAGCTGTTATACAGCCTAAAGACCAGGATCCTCCTTTGCTGTTATTTTTTGAGGCTGTCATTGGCTCCAGTAATTTGGCCAGGCATCCTGTTAATGCAGCACTCACACTGGAGGGAGTTAAATGTGCTTTAGCCAACAATAAGGTAGAACTAGTCGTTCATTGGGTAACTCAACAAAGGTAAGAAATACTATAAAATCCTTGAATGCATCTTATATATTTTATAATGTGATTGTGGGCTTCACAGCCCTCTGTTTTATAAAGTGTTATCTGGACCCCCGGTGTGGGCCTTATATGTGTATTCCTGTGTTTCTGTATGATGCTTCCTTGTTCTCGGTTGTCTGATGTCACTTTGTATCATATGATTTGTAATGGTTTGTATGTTTCTTTCACCGTGTTTAACCAGTTGCCGACCGCAGATAGCGGCCGGCAAGTTCTGGGAGGGCGTCATATGACCCTAAAACCCCGCCCCGCCTCTCAGCTTCTGAAACCTCTAAAGGGTCGGGAGGCGCCGGCACCAAGGGGTTAAAAAAGTTGCAAATAAAACAATTAGAACAAAACAGAAATGAAACCCTTGCCATCTAGGCTCTAACTAAACAGCACATATTCCTTTCCTAAAGGTGAAGGTTTTCCCAATCACCAAAAAAAAGCCTAAAACTTTTTCTTACTCCTACAGAGCGGTTTCCACATGTAGCTCCCTCAGGTTTTGCTTTCTGAGTCCCAGGCCAGAGCCACCTCTTGCTCCAGTCCTTCCTTATTTATCCCACCTACTGCTGGTCACAAGTGGGAAGCAAAATCTGTCTCAGATCTCACACCACCAAGGTGGCCCAGAAAACCCAAACCAGATTTCATCTTAGTTTTCTACATATGAAAGCATGCACGGTGATACACAGCATCCCTCATTTACCTCGTCTTTCATTATGTCACACTTCCTATTGTGCAAAATAAACATTTCTGGACGTTAGTTTGTTAGTCTGGATGAAAAAAGACAAAAGTCCATCCAGTTCAATCATTAAAAAAAAAAAAGTTATAATCCTATACCCACAGTTGATCCAGAGGAAGGCAAAAAAAAAAAAAAAACCCAGCAAAGCACGATCCAATTTGCTCCTGCAGGGAAAATAAATTCCTTCCTGATCCCCCAAGAGGCAATTGGATATTCCCTGGATCAACTTTACCTATAAATGTTAGTATCCAGTTATATTCTGTCTATCCAAGGAAGAATCCAGGACTTTTTTTAAAGCAATCTACTGAGCTGGCCAGAACCAACTCTTGAGGGAGTCTATTCCACATTTCCACAACTCTCACTGTGAAGAAGCCTTTCCGTGTTTGGAAATTACATTTCTTTTCCTCCAGACATAAAGAGTGTCCCCTTGTCCTCTGTGATGACCTCAGGGTGAATAACTCTACACCGAGTTCACTATATGAACCACTGATGTATTATACATGGAGATCATATCCCCCCTTATGTATTATACATGGAGATCATATCCCCCCTTATGTATTCTACATGGAGATCATATCCCCCCTTATGTATTATACATGGAGATCATATCCCCCCTTATGTATTATACATGGTGATCATATCCCCCCCCCTTATGTATTATACATGGAGATCATATCCCCCCTTATGTATTATACATGGAGATCATATCCCCCCTTATGTATTATACATGGTGATCATATCCCCCCTTATGTATTATACATGGAGATCATATCCCCCCTTATGTATTATACACGGAGATCATATCCCCCTTATGTATTATACATGGAGATCATATCCCCCTTATGTATTATACATGGAGATCATATCCCCCTTATGTATTATACATGGAGATCATATCCCCCTTATGTATTATACATGGTGATCATATCCCCCCTTATGTATTATACATGGAGATCATACCCCCCCTTATGTATTATACATGGTGATCATATCCCCCATTATGTATTATACATGGAGATCATATCCCCCCTTATGTATTATACATGGAGATCAAATCCCCCCTTATGTATTATACATGGAGATCATATCCCCCCTTATGTATTATACATGGAGATCATATCCCCCCTTATGTATTATACATGGAGATCATATCCCCCCTTATGTATTATACATGGAGATCATATCCCCCCTTATGTATTATACATGGAGATCAAATCCCCCCTTATGTATTATACATGGTGATCATATCCCCCCTTATGTATTATACATGGTGATCATATCCCCCCTTATGTATTATACATGGAGATCATACCCCCCTTATGTATTATACATGGAGATCATATCCCCCCTTATGTATTATACACGAAGATCATATCCCCCTTATGTATTATACATGGTGATCATATCCCTCCTTATGTATTCTACATGGAGATCACATCCCCCTTATGAATTATACATGGAGATCATATCCCCCTTATGAATTATACATGGAGATCATATCCCCCGCTTATGAATTATACATGGAGATCATATCCCCCTTATGAATTATACATGGAGATCATATCCCCCCTTATGTATTATACATGGTGATCATATCCCCCCTTATGTATTATACACGGAGATCATATCCTCCTTATGTATTATACACGGAGATCATATCCCCTTATGTATTATACACGGAGATCATATCCCCCTTATGTATTATACATGGAGATCATATCCCCCTTATGTATTATACATGGAGATCATATCCCCCCTTATGTATTATACATGGAGATCATATCCCCCCTTATGTATTATACATGGAGATCATATCCCCCTTATGTATTATACATGGAGATCATATCCCCCCTTATGTATTATACATGGTGATCATATCCCCCTTATGTATTATACATGGTGATCATATCCCCCTTATGTATTATACATGGAGATCATATCCCCCCTTATTTATTATACATGGCGATCATATCCCCCCTTATGTATTATACATGGCGATCATATCCCCCTTATGTATTATACATGGAGATCATATCCCCCCTTATGTATTATACATGGCGATCATATCCCCCCTTATGTATTATACATGGAGATCATATCCCCCTTATGTATTATACATGGAGATCATATCCCCCCCTTATGTATTATACATGGAGATCATATCCCCCCTTATGTATTATACATGGTGATCATATCCCCCCCTTATGTATTATACATGGCGATCATACCCCCCTTATGTATTATACATGGAGATCATATCCCCCTTATGTATTATACATGGTGATCATATCCCCCTTATGTATTATACATGGAGATCATATCCCCCCTTATGTATTATACATGGAGATCATATCCCCTCTTATGTATTATACATGGTGATCATATCCCCCCTTATGTATTATACATGGAGATCAAATCCCCCTTATGTATTATACACGAAGATCATATCCCCCCTTATGTATTATACATGGAAACTATATCCCCCTTATGTATTATACATGGTGATCATATCCCCCCTTATGTATTATACATGGTAATCATATCCCCCCTTATGTATTATACATGGTAATCATATACCCCCTTATGTATTATTCATGGAGATCATATCCCCCCTTATGTATTATACATGGCGATCATATCCCCCCCTTATGTATTATACATGGTGATCATATCCCCCCTAATGTATTATACATGGAGATCATATCCCCCCCTTATGTATTATACATGGAGATCATATCCCCCCTTATGTATTATACATGGAGATCATATCCCCCTTATGTATTCTACATGGAGATCATATCCCCCTTATGTATTATACATGGTGATCATATCCCTCCTTATGTATTCTACATGGAGATCATATCCCCCTTATGAATTATACATGGAGATCATATCCCCCTTATGTATTATACATGGTGATCATATCCCCCCCCCTTATGTATTATACATGGAGATCATATCCCCCCTTATGTATTATACATGGTGATCATATCCCCCCTTATGTATTATACATGGAGCTCATATCCCCCCTTATGTATTATACATGGTGATCATATCCCCCCCCTTATGTATTATACATGGAGATCATATCCTCCTTATGTATTATACACGGAGATCATATCCCCCCTTATGTATTATACATGGAGATCATATCCCCCTTATGTATTATACATGGAGATCATATCCCCCCTTATGTATTATACATGGAGATCATATTCCCCCTTATGTATTATACATGGAGATCATATCCCCCTTATGTATTATACATGGAGATCATATCCCCCCTTATGTATTATACATGGTGATCATATCCCCCCCTTATGTATTATACATGGCGATCATACCCCCCTTATGTATTATACATGGAGATCATATCCCCCTTATGTATTATACATGGTGATCATATCCCCCCTTATGTATTATACATGGAGATCATATTCCCCTTATGTATTATACATGGAGATCATATCCCCCCTTATGTATTATACATGGCGATCATATCCCCCCTTATGTATTATACATGGTGATCATATCCCCCCTTATGTATTATACATGGTAATCATATCCCCCCTTATGTATTATACATGGTGATCATATACCCCCTTATGTATTATTCATGGAGATCATATCCCCCCTTATGTATTATACATGGAGATCATATCCCCCCCTTACGTATTATACATGGTGATCATATCCCCCTAATGTATTATACATGGAGATCATATCCCCCCTTATGTATTATACATGGAGATCATATCCCCCCTTATGTATTATACATGGAGATCATATCCCCCCTTATGTATTATACATGGAGATCATATCCCCCCTTATGTATTATACATGGAGATCATATCCCCCCTTATGTATTATACATGGTGATCATATCCTCCCTTATGTATTATACATGGTGATCATATCCTCCCTTATGTATTATACATGGAGATCATATCCCCCTTATGTATTATACATGGAGATCATATCCTCCCTTATGTATTACACATGGAGATCATATCCCCCCTTATGTATTATACATGGTGATCATATCCCCCCTTATGTATTATACATGGAGATCAATCCCCCCCCCCCTTAATCTCCTCTTCTCAAGGATGTACACTACACAAAAAAAAATGAACTAATACTAATACTGTAGCTGCTGACTTTCCCTATCGATAGATTTTTATTGAAACTTTGTTTTCAAGAGATACATTTGTGAACGCTATCATGTGTACAGGTAGAG